GATGTATTCCTTTGAATCAACAGTCAGACATCCATGCCCCAAGATGGCACTGCCATTCGAAGCCAGGTTGCTGCTTTAGGGATAACTTCTGGCACTTTTGCAACATGTTTTAATGCCTCTGCATGTTCCCCAATCTGGTATTTTGAGGCCCTTTTCTCACACAGGCAGTGTTTCTACACAGGCATACAGGCAAAAAGCTGAGCCATAAGAGATCTGTTACTGTAAACTGCCAGTACTTTGGAGCACGATTCACCCTTAATTATCAAATGGTTCCACTCCACCCAAAGTCTAAGGTCTGTCAAAACAAGTTGCACTGAGACATTCCGTGATGCTTCAGGAAAGAAAAGGAGCATTGTTCCTTATTTAGCAGAATGCAGTCACTAGCCCTGTACAGACAGGAAAAAGAGGCTTTGTGAAGAGACTGAGCACACAGTACTGAACGGTGCTTTTTGCAGGCAAGAATCTTTCATATGAAGAAAAGGGGAAGGGACATCCAGTAAGGTTGCCTGGTCCAGGATGAAGGGCACTACAGGCACATTTAGGACACAGACTTTGTTCTTCACTCCACCAATGACTTGCTGTGAATTTGGCAGCACATTTTACCTCTGTGTGCCTCAGTTTCTAGCTATAAAGCAGCTGTACTAATTTTTGTTCCTAGTAAAATGCCTTAATAACAATAAATCTTTTGACTGTTACTGTGCAAATGCACTGTAATACACACTGCCAAAGGACAGCCACTGCTATGCAACCAAGTAATAGCCTGGCTTAGACATACAGTAAAATTCAGGCAGGGATCAAATCCTAACTGCTCAACCCCATATCCTATGTAACAGCAAATACATCCTTCCCTTGCTGATAGTCCAATTGCTGGCCAGGCACAAGGGCTTTGAGCAAAATTGATAAGAATTCCTACCAGAGCAAGCAACTGTCTGCCCAAGTAGATCCCCATGTAAATCCAGGTGTGGGAAGCCCCAGCTGTGTCTTCTGATGTCTGTACTTGAGGCTTAGCAGAATTACAATGCAGCAGCTGCCCAGTCTTTTGCAGACCAGACAGGCAACCTGGCAAGTTTCAGGTGGTTCTTCATATGCCAGCCTTTCTTACTCTGGCCAAGCCTTAAACAAGTGTGTCTGACCATCCCGTGGCTTTAACAGTGTAGAGCGGATGAAAGAAAAAGCTGATGTTAAATGAGACTTGGCCCTACTATGTGGAAAACAGCTGCATCTCTGAAGAGCTTCATGTATTTAGTGAAACCCAGGCTCTGCGGGATTCGGTACTACAGGGAGCATTTAGTTATGGGCTGGTCCTAATGGGCTGAACTAGACAAGGGAGACAGGAGGCAAAACAGCTCTCTTCATAGTGAATCCTATTTGCTATAAATAGCACTTGTTGCAAGGAGAGGGTAAGTGCAAGCTTCTTCTGCTAAGATTGCAGTAGCAGAGACATTTTTATCACTGATTATGTGTGTTACCCCAAGGGGAACAGAATGGCTGCCAGCATAAACAGTAGCAAGCCTTACTGCCAGAAAATTACTTCAACCAGAAAAGCAAACCAAAATCAAGCCCAGGTCATTTCCCACAGCAAGGATTCAGATCTCACAGATGGCATGCCATCTAGTCACCTCAAGTCCACCAACAGATACAGCAAACCTTGAAGAGTGAGGGAGAGAGACTATATGGGTGGGAAATCCCGGAAATACCCACCACAGGTGCCACTCAGCTGAGAACCCACTACTTGAGAGAAAATACTACACAAAGCACTTGGTGAGGGGGCAGGCAATGAGCAGCCTACTAGGGAGAGAACACAGAGCCCCACCTGCACTGCACCACTTCCTGTGTGCATACCTGTGGGGAGTAGCAATTCTCACATAGCAAAATGTGTAGGTATTTCCCCATATAGACAGAGCCTTATGTGGTAACCTTGCATTTCACTTTGCTGCTGTTGGGAGGCCCTGATTTCAAAACAACCTCACTTGGGCTCTTAAAAATTCACTGCCATTTCACTCTCTGGAGAGGAGATAATCCCAGGCCTGTTGTTCAACATAATCTCAGAGAGAAAAAATAGCTATTTCAAATGACTTACTGCACACAAACAACTACGTAATTAAGACTGCCAGAGGAAATGATCTTCTAACTTGAAAAAGAGAAGGTATATTATTGTTAAAATACAGACACATTAGTGTCTTGGAGCTGTCAGGCCCATTTCTGACTCACTTCTGTGTGCCCCACCTGTTTTAAAGGACAGAAGTGTGAGCCAGCGCATATCTCAGATAAACTGCATTTCCTCAAGGAGGGAGAACAAGCTGAGGCCACGTTGACAGAGTCACCGCAGAGGAGACCCTGCTCTCTATGGTTTCCTTGCATTATAAACTACTGCTTTTAGCAGCCATACATTCCCATGCCACCATGCAGCTGTGGGATTGAATTATTTAACTGCCTCAGAGCAGGGTAAGTCTCAATAAACAGCAAGGACACACCTTCAAGGCAGGGTAGTCCATTAATGAGAGAGGGACAGGAGCTGTGTTGATGCCCACAGGGGAGTTTACTGCATTTCAACATTAAAAAAAAGCCATCTTGCTTTAGATGTCTGCAAGTGATGCTGTTCACAACATATTTTGGCCGGACACTCTGAAAGGGAAAGGGAAAGGGAATACACTGGGCTGAACTTGCAACTTACAGGGGCCCCTTAGTAATCTGTGCTTCAGTTCATCATGGAGAAAACATCAGTCAAACACATGATCGGTGAAGCTGAACAGGCATTAGCTGCAGAAGGGACAACTAAGCTGCATTCTCCATCCCTGCTCATGAGATAATGAGGCTCATGTGGTGGCTCTCAGCCACAGAGGGAGAAGACAGAGAGGGAAAAGAATGCAAAGGAACAAAAGAAACTTGCCTGTAGCGTATTGGCTGTGTTGGGTAACTTTCCAGGCATGGATTATTGACCAAAGGTGCAAGATAGAGATACACAAACAATATCCCTACTGGAACTATACCTGGCCTCTAGGTCCCAAGCATGTGTAGGGTTGCACGTGAGCTCTGCACATACGCCTAAGAGCTTGCTAGCAACTTACTTGTGTGTGTTAATGCACAGATTTGGAAAGTACGTCCTTGTATTTCAAGGTAGCTAGTCACCAAAAGAACCACCTGGCCGGAAAAGATGCTCTAGCAAAAGAACAGACACTGAATCAGCAACGCAATTCCTCAATACCCCACTTCACTGCTTGTGTTAAATTAAGTCTGACTTTTTATCTTGAATCTGGTTTTATACCCAAACATTAGGTTTAGTAGCCACTCACTTCCACCCTTCTAAACATCAGACTGCTGTGTTGGGATCAGATGTCTTGGGACACTCGTTCATATTCAGGGACTTCTATAAATAAGCACATAAGGTACAAAGAGATAGGGAAGTACAGTTGGTGGATCAAAAAAGAAGACACAGAATTACAGGGTTTCTTGCTCATTTCCAACTGTGTCTGATGTGATGCATGTCCTTGGCAACTCACTTAACCTCTCTATACCATAGGTTCTGCACTTGCAAAATTGATTTTAATTTTAGTTTTGTACTGTGAAGTGTGTGATGTGGCAGAGAGATCCCAAGTGGGAGACATGAGAGCGAATCTGTTTTTATGTTGGGAGAGGGACTTTTTTTCCACAGCTGAGCAGTCTGTGGGTAAAGCCAGTCAGGGTAGAGCTAGCACTGAATGTAAAACAGTTCTTTGCTCCCATTATTAATTATGTTAATAATATACAGGTTACAATTAGCTTATGCCAGAAGGATCTGCTACCCTCAAGCACAGAAGTGTAAGCCTGAGCTAAAGCAATACCTTTGCTAGCTAAAAATGAGACTGAGATACTCTGTGGAGGAGGGGATGGAGTATTTACACAGTTATGCAGAGCAATTAAAGGAGAGCTGTGACTGGCGTGAAGCTGTGCAGCTAAAGTTTCATGCCTAGTTTGTTTTCCTTGGAATGACTGGTGCTGTTAAGCCCAGGAGGGATGTTCATTTTCTGTGAAGAATGGAGTATGGGGACAGAAGAGTCAGGTGGGGGCTGAGCTTTGCAAGAATGAGGAATGACTGACACCCAAAAAAATAAGCTATACGTTCTAAGAAAGAATAAAACACACCAAGATACTATCCCTGAAAGCAAATTGCAGCCACTGCTTGGTTTCAGCATGAGACCCCACAATCTTCCCTCCTTTTCAGCTTACAGACAGGAAATCATCCTCCAGCATGGTCTGCATGATGCACAGCCAGGCAGTGGCTGCCCAGGCATTTTGTACTTAGTCCATAAAGAGTCCAATGGAACTAATTTTTTGTGCATTAATTTTTTGTGTTGGGAAGCCAACAGCAATTTGCACTCCCCATGCAGGTACAGGATTCTCATCTCTGGAATTTCTTGGTACTTCCCACTCCTTATTTTATGATTTATTAGTCTTCTGAACAGCAGAATAAGCAAATAATAAACACTTTTAAAATTATATTTTCCTGACTGAGATGAATGTTAGTCCCCTAGAGATTGATTCCACCACCAAGATGAAGAAAAACCAGCAGTCTGCTCTTTGTCAGCCTCTCCCAAGAAACGTGTGTCCATGAGGCAGGCTTTCTAACAGCCTTCAGACATAGAGACTTCATATACTCAGGAGAGGAGTCAATTCTATAAAATAAACTGTGCTCCATACCTTGCTGCAGTTTATATTATTTACTGGTACAACAGTAAAGCGCTACGAAGAGAATAAAAACTGAGCTAAAAACACCATCTGTAAAACAGCCACAAACTCGTCAAAAAGCTATTGCACATTTGCAGACCCCAGGCTGAGCTGCCCAGTATGCCCTTCTGTTAGTAAGCAGCTCTCCTGCCCTGAAATCTTGCTAATTTTTCTCCTTCTGTGTTCCTCAAAGCACTCCAAGCACTGGGAGACATAACAGTTCCTGAGAGATGCTGCACAAAAGCATGCTGCCTTGCCCTGGAAAGGTCTGTGTGAGACTTCAGACATGCATTTACCTCCGTGAAGCCCTCCTGAAGAATATCGAGTAAATTCCCCCTGGCCAAACAAGCGAGCATTCTTCACGAGCCCACCAACGGACGAAGGTCTCAGAGCACACAGGGCAGATCCTCCAGCTCTGGGCACGACCTCTTCCTCCTCCTCCCAAAGACAAAGAGTTGGAGCTCATTAGGAACCGCATTCATGGTCCCATATGTGCAGCCCGTTACTGCACACAGTTGAGCCAGAGTCAAGGCTTGTACTGGGCATGCTCGAGAGGGAGCTGCTGGGGGAGTTGTGGGAGAGATGTCATACGGTTCCTATAGAAACGCTTCAGCTTACAAGATGCAGGCCCAGGACTGAGTTGCGGAAACATCTGAAACCTATTTCCAGCAGTCGTACTCATACAAAACCTGCTGCGTAAAAGAGATTTTCAAACCCACCAAACACAGCAAGCCCTGTATGGCGTGGGGGCAGGGCAAGAGTCAGAGAACGACAAATAGCAGATGCCTTGCTTAGCTAGAAAAGCAAAACGGAAGATTGTAAGAGCTGCCAGCTTTAACTCCCAGCAATCGTTCTGCAGCCCTGAAGAAACAGCGGCGTTGTCAGCAACCTGGTAGACACAGGAAGCTGCAAACCGCAACACAACTAGTAACATTTGCACAATACTCAGCCCTGCTCTACCTGCCCTGGCAATGAAGTCGAAAGAAGAAAAAAAGAAAACTTTCAAACTAGAATCAAATACAATCCCCGGCAAATTTTCTAAATCAGTAATAACTGCATTAATTCCAGAAACAAGTATCAAATATCTCCAGGCAATCTCTCAACTTCATCTCACTTTACAGGAAATGTCCAGGAAAGAAAAAGAAAGGAAAAAAAAAAAAGAAAAACCTCTCAGAATGGATAAAGACAGCTTCTTCCAGGGGCTCTGGCTGCCAATCCGCAGAGCAACACAGTAAAACCGCAAGTACTGCTCAGTGACATCAGACTGTACCTTCAGATTTCAAAATATCTGGCCAAGAATTTGTAGGTGAGACAACACGTTTAAAAACAAACAAGTTTTTCTGCCTATGTGTTGAAGCATCTGGAGGAAAAAGCAATTGCATAATTTTACCATTTTACCCTGTCACATATGGAGATGCCTAAAATACAGAAAGACAAGCAACAGGTAATTTCCCTCGGCAACCAACCCAAGCAATTCAAAAAGGAGTCAGCCCCCACGCCTCCATGACATAAGTTTTAAATTATTTATTCATGTTTGCCTTCCCTACTTTTCATAATTTAATGGGAATTGAGATTTTAATGTTTTCATTGATTAGAATATCACATCTGTTAAGCAAAACAACAGCTTACTGTGAGACTTTGCATAAAGTCTTGCAAACTGGCAATGCTGGTGGTTAGTACCTTGATCCAGTTTACTTTTAAGACTCAAAATGCCATTAAGTAGATAGCAAAAAATATTTATTTTTTGTGATGAAACCAAGTAGCTTATGCCTTTACAATTTAAATAAAATTTCATAAAATAAGTGGTTTCCTCATCAGATGATAGAAAGTGACTTAATTTTAAAAAGCAAAACCCATCAACCACAAAACACACTCTGAGCCTTTTCTATGGACTTTATAATACTATTCTTGACTAATAATCTCAAAGAAAAAGTTATATTAATTATCTGTTTTTCAGTGCTACATAGTAAATATACATTCATAGAAGATTTCTGATATTAACAGATACGGATGCTGAGCTCATCCCTTCTCTATACCACTTCAATTTCTGGAACAAAACCGATTAACTCCCATATTTGTGTCTCACTCTTAAATTTCAAGCTTCTTGTAGCAGGAATCATATTTTTCTTTCAGTTTTATAACACCATAGTAGATGCCTTTGAATGTTATCTTTGCAAGAAGCAAACAAAACAGCCTCTCATTAAAACTAATGCTTCATAATTCTCCCTGAAGATGATTCCAAAATGAAGGGTACGGGGCAATGATATCAAAAGGATGTCCACATCAGCTGTTGATGGTGCAAATGACCTTCAAAACAAACATGTAGGATGGCAGTTTGGTTGGTGGCATCGCCCCCTCCTGGCCAGTTTCAGCATAACCCTAACCCTTGTACTTGCCCCGGTTGAATTCTGGACAAGGTGCATGACAAAGGCCTGTTAAGTGCTCTATTTCCTATTCTTGTGATGAGGCTGTCGTCGTGTCACAGCAGCACTACCAGTATCAACACATAAGCCTTCCTTCAAGACTTTCCATTCAAGGATTTTAAGGCACTTTATCAACATTCTTTGATTGTTTCTCTTATCAGCCCTTGAGAAAGAGTGAAAGATCAACGGCCACAGTTCAGCTCTTGCTAATATAATTTTGGTTTGGGAAATAAAAGCAAGTGAGGCTGATTCAGAAACAGAGGCTGTCAGGCTTGTGACGCCATGACTGCAGTAATAGCAAAAAAGAGCTGCCTAATGCAACTAATGCCTTTGTGTCACTGAGTGTCCCCTCCCAACCTCCCCGTCAAGCATCCAAATAGATCAGACACAAAAAGGACTCCTGGAAACTCACTGAGGTTGCAGCAGGCTGTGATGTGTGTCGGGGCACCATGTCCACCAGAGTTCCCATGCTGGATGCTACAGCTCAGCTCAGTGCCAAGGGGAACGTATCAGCACTCCTTCCCCCTTGAAGCCTGAGGGGGAGAAGCAAATGTATTAAGTACAAAGGAAAGACTTTTCTTAGAGGGAGAACAGCCTTACCAATGAAATGTCTGAATCTAACCAAAACAAAGGAGAAAAGTTGCCACCTTCTTTCATTGCCTGCAGAAAATATATTTAAGGTCTACAGTCTTAGGGAAATTTACACATTTTTGTATTTTCTTCCACATGTAAAGTATGTATGATGGACAGAATTCCCCTGAAACACATGTAGATGTGTAGATTCCTGACTACATTGGCTGACACTGCACATTGGATCTAATTATCTCTTCCTATTTGTGGAGGTGGAATCCAAATTCAACAGAAGTCAAAAATGCTAGCCAAAGCTGTACTGGTGCCTAGTGTCAAATATTCAGGGTATTACTTCATTCAGTGCATTTAGTCCAGACAGCAAAGATTTTGGGAAACAATTCCACATACTGACATTTATATTTAGGAAGTTTCTGGTAATCTGTATTTTCTTTGCTTGGTCTTCCTTTTAGAAGTCCGGAGTGAAGTCTGGGGAAGGGAAGGTGGGGGAGTTTGGAAGAGTTAACAGAATGGATAATGGTAAGATTCCTTGAGAAAGACTGAATGACAGTAGGAATCACTGTTTTTAAGAATCATTAAAGGTGGGCAGAAGTGTAACCCTTAGGCAGATGGTCACTATTATCTTGTTTGTGTCCTCCTGGTACATCTCTAGGGACAAAAGGTCAGGGGTAGGACAGGATAGGTAACAGAGCCAGAGCCAAGGCAGGTTGCTGAATCTACTCAGGGGTGGAGGTATTTTGGGGCCCATTCTGCAAAGCAGGGCTGAGAGTGAATGAGCGGGGAGGCCACGAGCTGCGGGGCAAGGATCTGAGGCCTCGGAGGGGCTGTGTGGCCCCAGGTGTCTCTGGAAGCAGGGTCAATCCAGGGGGATTGGAGCACGGGGTTCCCCAGGAGCAGGGCTGGCTAGGGGGAGACCAGAGTATGGGGAATGTTAGGCCCGGGGTGGGAGACCGGGGGTATCGGGACAGGCCGCAATCCCCAGGAGCAGGGCTGTCCTGGGGGCTAAGCAGCCCCTGCGGAAGGGGTGGCACAGGGAAACCCAGGGTCCCCGTGGGGAGGGGTGCCGGGACCGCGCCGCCAGGACCCCGCGCCCT